GATAGATAGATAGATAGATAGATAGATAGATAGATAGTTTTCTCATTATTCACGGTTCGAAACATTCGAATAGAACAGGCGTAATGAGAAAAAACCTGAATAAATTAATCTATAATTATGATAATTTCTTATCGCGGTAACCTAACTCGAAATATTCTGAGGAATTACCTTATTTTCTAATGCGTAATACGAGAAATTTTGAACAAAAATTAAAGACAAAAAGGGGGTGCCTATTACATGCATGTCTTACACGTTTTCGGAAATTTTTTACCCATCTTAAAAAAAAAAACAAAAAAAACTCTTCTTTGAAACAGCAAGCGTATAAATACCCTCAGTTTTGCTCACACGATATATTTTGTTTCTATTTTGATTTTCTTCTTTTTATAACATTTTCACTCTTCATTCTTAATGAAAGACAATATTGTTTTTTATCTTATTTTCATAGTTTTTTAATACATAGAAATATAACGAAATCGTATTAAACAGAAAACTATGATAGAATGATTAACACCGTAAAATATATTACCGGGTTCGTATGTCTAGTTATCACCTTTCAGCGAAAATTTGACAATAATTTTTTAAACGGAAATTAAGAGAAAAAACACACAATGGCTAAACATCCGGTTCATTTCTAGTCTTTAATATCGTGATGGAGTTAAATATTTCAGTGAAATATATGTATAGCATTGGGATTTTAATGGAAGATAGAGTACATACAAAATAATTTACATGAGGATGGCTGAACGACGGGGTCGTCTTATGCACAATGATGTAATTTATACTCTATTTTTAGCTTCAGAAACAAGCGGCTGTATTATTGCATCGCAAGTATTTGAAATGAATTGGTGAATAAAGAAATATATATTCAAATGTTTTGTTTTGCTACCTGTGCGTCTCTCCCTCGTCTCTATTCTATCGATCTATATATATATATATATATATATATATATATATATATATATAGATAGATAGATAGATAGATAGATAGATAAGAGAGAGAGAGTGTGTACCTCTCTCAATATATATATATATATATATATATATATATATATTAAAGAAAAACAGACCACTTTAAGGCACCATTATAATAATTTATTTCACCAGAGCCCTTTTAAAGGGCGCCGGATCATCAGATAGCACTTCCAAAAGTTTTTGGGCCTTAAAGTTGTCTGTTTTTCTTTAATATATTAGCTCTGGATTTACATTGAGCTCTGAGGATTTCATCCTTCTCGGGATTACCCATACGGATTACCAAGTTCTTCATAACTTAACTATATATATATATATATATATATATATATATTATGACCATGGAATATTAGTGTTTAAGCCTTTTTATTATATTCTTACTCTGTCCTGGACATTGAGTTCTACCTGGATTCTTCCTCTTAGAATTTTTTATTCAAAAAATATACATGGTATTTATATATTTTGCATATATATGTATATTTCCCACTAATATTATCTATCTATCTATATTTATATATATATAGCGTATGTCTGTCCGTGCCGCTCTTGCTTTCTTTCTCCCTTCCTATCTATCTATCTATCTATCTATCTATCTATCTTTACCTCTCGCTCTCAATATATATATATATATATATATATATATATATATATATATGAGAGCGAGAGGTAAAGAGAGGAACGGGCAGACATAGACACACGGATATCAATGACAGGAGATATTACTGGTTACTGCTCCATTTTCTATCACTGGACATTGCTAGGATTAATAGATTTCATGACTGCGTAGTTTTTTTTACGGTTTATCAACCTGTCGCAGGTTTAAATAACCAGGAAATATTCATAGATTTTAGGAATTTTGGGGGAGATAATAATGATTTACTGATTCAAGTTCCACTCATTAACCCATACCTTTCCCCAAAGAGAATTGCGTGAATATAAGGAATACATTAGAAAGCCGTGTTTCAACTCTGAGCTGTTATCCATTACACCACCCGCGCATCTAAGCTTACAGTACCTGGTATTCCGAAACGGTCACCCATCTATGTACTGACCAGTCTCAGCGTTGCTTTACTTCGGTGATAGTACGGGAACCGGTATTTCAAATGGCCGTTGGCCCACCTAATATTTGAGTGTGATTTGTCAAATCTCGATAAATATATTCTTCTTCTTCCGTGTTCCTTCGATAATGACTCTCCACAACTTCCTTCCTTTTGTAGCTATTAGTAACATTTGACAATTTATCATCATTCCGATGACTCGTTCTGTCATCCATTTTGGGAGTAAGAGTAGGAGAATTCTTAGATTTATACTTTTCCCATTGTTAACTGCGTTTAATTGAATGTAAAGAACCCAACCGGAATTGGAACACGGAGAGCAGATTTCCAACTCCGAACTGTTATCACTTACACCAAAGGCACATCAAGCTTACAGCACCTGATATTCCCAAGTCGTTAACCCTTTAGGTACTGACCAGTCTCGACGTTGCTTAACATCAGTGATCGTACGAGAACCGTTGTTTCAAGGTCGTGTGGCCGTAAGCCAAACGTTGCTAGGAAGAATTTACTCTGAGAAAGATAACGAAAAATAATAACAAAGTCAATAATGGCGCTAACGGCAAATATATTGATAACGTTTATTTATGTTACACCAAAAATAAAATTCAGAATCTAGAAAAAGCGACCAAAGTAATTGTATAAATGTTTCTTTATCGGCTAAGTTGGCATGATGTGATATCAGTTATTCTAAATGGTAGTGAATGCCGGATACTCTCCTCCCAGATGAAGAGAAGACTTGAGGCAACAGGGATATGGTTCTACAGAAGAATGATCGGAATTCCATAGACTGAACATATGAGTAACGAGGAAGTTTTTAGGAAAGAAAAAAATAACACAAAGTACAATTGTACTTGAAATCTCAAAGAAACAGTTGATATTTTGAGACGCATAATAAGGAACAATGTCTTGGAAAATTTGACAGCCACAGGACAAATCGGCATATATATATATATATATATATATATATATATATATATATATATATAGTGTGTGTGTCCTATGAAACTCTAGAATTATCATGCTGCAGATAACATCAATCAGCTGAATGACAAATTTTATGTTTGTATTAATCCTATATATATATATATATATATATATATATATAGAGAGAGAGAGAGATAGATAGATAGATAGATAGATAGATAGATAGATAGATAGATAGATCTCAATGTCCACAACAGAGCAAGAATATAATATAAAATGCTCAATTTATTACATTGGAATCTTAAACGCGATACAATTCATCAGACCTCCAAATTAAAAAAGAAATCGGAAAAATATTTTCCAATTTCTTTTTGAATTTGTAGTAATACAAACTCGTTTTGACTGGAGTCCAAGATGAGTTTAGATTACTACTACAAAAAGGAGACAATGGTTAAAAGATTCAACATGAGGAAAAACTAATTCCTATAAATCTTATGAAGGTCACAGGTCATAAAACCCGAAATACATGTTGCGAAATTCATGGAAAAAAGTATAATATATAAAGAAAATAACCACATCATATCCCAAAACGTTTTCGGCTTCTTTTATCCTTAATGTGTATGTATATATATATATAAATAAGTAAATAAGTCTTATATGCGCGTGTTCATCGTTGCTTAGTGATCCACTATGTAAACTAAACAATGACAGACTATCATCACTGTCGTGTCCGTATATTGTTTGATATGTTTGTAATTACATCTTTGATAATGGCTTGAGTAAGCCGAAAGCTTAGATTATATTAAAGAAATAATGGATAAATATTGTGAATTTTTTTTTCGGTTAATGATAATGTTATCAAACTTATCAGAAGATACGAAAAAATTTTTACATAAAAAATAAATAGACAACATTTGTCTATATTATTTAATGAAACGTATATATATATATATATATATATATATATATATATATATATATAGAGAGAGAGAGAGAGAGAGAGAGAGAGAGATAGAGATAGAGAGAGAGACTTAGAAAACTGATGTAGATATAGAGAGTGCTGACATAGAAATCAACATTGCAACGTCACCAGCCCATTCATACTTTAGGCGGTGATCTCTTAAAATTTTAAACTGCTAATCACTGTAGCTATCGCATTTTGGTTGTTTGTGATGTGAGTATAGTTAAGTGGGTAGTTAACCTACGAGCAAGCGTAGTTGTTTTATGTCTAATGTAAAAATTTAATTTCCAATCAAACTTGTATCATAGGTTTGGTATATTAGGTTAAGATTTTATTTACTAAGTGAACTATATAGCAATTAGATAATGTTGGACGGTATCCTCAAGGATGAAGAAGAGATTCGAGGTGGCGGAGATATGCTTCTACAGAAGGATGCTGAGGATATGATGGACCGGGCATTTGAACAACGATGAGGTCTTGGAGAGGATGCAAACAAGGAGGAAGCTTATTATAAGGAAGAGGCAGATGAAATTTCTGGAACACGTGATGGGAAAGGAGGGCCTGGAGAATCTGTTACTCACAGGGCGAATAGAGGGAAAAAGAGACAGGGAAAAGAAGCGAATGATATACTTGACAGGCTTGGGCAGGTGTATGGCGGAGCCTGGTCTGTGGGAGTTGGCAGAAACACAAAACCTATTGAGAGCCACAAGTGATAGGGGGAAGTGAAGGGCCATGATCGCCAACGTCCTGAAATGACACGGCACATAAAAAAAGGGCCGAGAGGCGGCCCTAATGTTATACCATTATGATCACCAGCTTACGATAATGTTCATAAAATAGGTACTTATATCGTGCAGGACGTAGAATATTCATGTAGGATCGTGTGTTTAATATTGGGAGATGGGAACGAATATATATATATATATATATATATATATATATATATTGTTTTATTATATCAATAGTTTCTTTATTTACATTATTCGGACTATTCTCCTCATCTTTGTCGCCATGTTTTTTACAACGTTTCGGCCGTTGTACGCTCCGGTATTCTTCAGTTGGTTGGAATGTCGAATTGAACCATTTGTTTCGCTCACTGGGCTAGACTGTTCTAGTTCCACGTGCCATGTCTAATGGATGTTATCTCCTGGTAATTCCCCCTCTCAAAGTTCTCCGCCGCCTTAACCAGGTATTGAACTCACACTCTTTGGGTCCTGTCACTGGAGGTAACTAACGTCTTTATCCACTGTTCCAATAGTCCGTATAACGTAAACAGTGTACATTATACCTCATCTCAGAAATATAGACAGATAGTAATAGGTTCTTTGAAAGCCAAAGAAACTTTCGATATCTAATGAGGCTTCTTCCGTGTGTAATGGCCCTACAGGATGTGGGTGATCTAGCTTTCCACAACTTTGTGTTCTTTGTAGATCTTAGTAAAGTATATTTTCTGATTCTCTTCAAAATTCTGTTCTGCCAATCATGTACACGAGCTCGTTATGTAAGTTAATTGCTGCTTTCCTCTGTCCCTCTTGTCATGTGTTTGTAAAATCTGACTCTCTAACGATGCCATTATTACTTTGAATGCACCATTTGAAGAATTTCATCTGTGGAGTTAAGACCCAAATTCTATCCGAACGTTTAGGTGCAGCCAATTTAGTTCTAAATGCATCCTCAAAATAACTGTCGGGGAATTGGTTTTCATAGATTTCTTTGCCTGAGTTACACGTTTCCCATACTGATGACTAGCAGTACAACCCGTCTTCGACCAGGTGTTTCATTACTGGGAATTTTTGCCGTTCAATTGGAGCAGTTTAAGTTGAAGTCAGCCGACCCGAAAATCAATATTAGTATCAACAATTGGGTACAACTGAGGTACATTCCCAAATGGGGGTTTAACAATTTGAATGGGCGGGTGCCTCTGAAAAGGGCCGTGTTTGCGTTCTCAATCTTGCAAGGAAGGAACCTCTTCCATGGACCGTCATAATAATAATATACGATAATTTTCATTTTTATATATATATATATATATATATATATATATATATATATATATATATATATATATATATTTGAAATCTAAAAGTTGAAATCTAACATAAAAAGATTATTAGAATTATAAATATATATATATATATATTTATAATTTAATAATCTTTTTGCGTTAGATTTCAACGCTCTAAATTGATTGTACGCTGTTTTTTATAGACATTAACTTTTGCCTTTCATTTTTGCGCAAAGTGTAAAAAAAATCATTTTTTTCGATATTTCGCCTTCAAGGTTGTAAGTTTTTCCAGCGAATTTGGACTCAAAACCAACACTGAAGAATTATCTATCAAACAAAAAAAAAAAAAAACATTGAAATCGGATGAAAACAGTGGAAACGCATAAAAAAAAACATCCGATCACGCACACACATACATACACACACATTTTGAGAGTTATAGATTACTTAACGGTGGTGATCTTACTGCTTTTTTATATTTTTAAACAATCTTTTAAATTTTCAGTATCTTTTCGCTGTCTATATTCACAACACAAGCTTCATTTATATTCTTGTTAGTTAATCAAATTTTAATGTTTAATATATTTCAAACTATTCTAGGTTCTTTTTTAATTTTTATATATCCCCTCCGACCAATGATAATTTTTATATACACAGTTATATAATACATATCGATAACTATAAAATGATGTATATTTATTAATAATATGATAGATATTGAGTTGCATGATAAAATCTGAGTACACAAAATAAGTTGTTGAAAATATTTCTCATAAAAAATGAATAAATTGAAAGTCACATGACATTATTATATATCCAGATTTCTTTTACTGACTCAGTTATTTAATATAAATTCTATTGTTAATGCATTAACGTGTAAAAAGAACGAACGAACGAACGAATCAAAGAAAGACGGAGAAGAAGTGTAAAAAACAAAAATAAAAAAAAATAAAGAAAGGATGTTAGAAAGACAGAAAAGAAAAAAAAAACGATTGAAATAAAAAGAAAGAGAGAGCAATGGAAAGGAAAAAAACGGATGGAAATGAAAAAAAAATTCAGAAGAACGCATGAAATGAATAATTTGCTAGATAGAACTATGTTACAAAAGTAACTAAGAAAATGTAGCCTACCAAAAGATAGAAGAGGGAAAAAGAAAGAAATGTTTGACAAGGAATAAAAAACAATTGAAAATAAAAGAAAGTTCGATGAAAAGGAAAAGAAAGAAAGCAAGAAAAAAAGAATAACTTTCCTAGATAGAAATATCTCACTAAAGTAAAAGCAAACGCACCAAAAGATAGAAAGGGGAAAAGAAAGGGAGGAAAAGAAAGACAGAGAGGAAGAAAGAAAGAACTATTAGAAGTAAAAGAAAGGAAGAGTAGGGAAAAGAAGAAGAAAAAACGATGTAAACGAAAAGAAAGAAGATAGAAAGAAAAATGAACGAAAGAAAGAAAATCTTTCCTACGTAACTATGTTACAAAAATAAGTAAAGGCACGTAACCAAAAGATAGAATGGAAAAAAAAAATGAAAGAAAGGAAATAAAGAAAGAATCAAGAAACAGTAAAAATATGTGCGATGAAAAGGAAAG